AATGCCCCGCACAGAGACCGCACACTTCTCACAGTGCCGCAAACGCCCACACGCCCAACAGAAGCAGCGGCAGCAGCACTTGTTTCGCACCGCCACATCCATCCGCGTGTTTGTCTTCCAGTTGCGCCACTATTTTAGTCTCAATCTCCCTCTCCAAGGGTCTCAGCTCCGTGGCCACGGCCTTGTGAGGAGTCGGCGAGAGCGCAGACCCCGGCACGGTTTGGGGTGAAGTGTCGCTCGCATGGTTACTGGAAGTTTCTTGAACCCGAACAGAACCCCCGCCTTGTGGTTTCGCATCTTCCTGTGCTGGAATGGAAACTTTTCTCTTGTGAAGGGCACTAATCTCCGTGCCACCCAACGGGCGGTTGTACAGCAGAACGTTCGTCACCGTCACACGGCCCTCGTTGCTCGCTGTCTCTTCTGTGACGCCGCCGTCCCCGCCAATGTAGAAGTGTGAGATCGTGCACGGCTCTGTTTTGCACTGCAGTGCTGCTTGTGAACTCCCCACACGCTGGCCGTCAACGTACACGGAGCCCTGGCTGTCGCCCTCCCGCACGATCTTCACGTGGTATTTTTTATTTAGCTCCCACGTGCTGGTGCGATCGCATCTCTCTCCGTCCCTGCAAAGCACACTCCACTGCCTCTCCTTCGTGTACGACAGACCCAAAAGCACAGTGCTGTCGTTCATCCTCACACCCAACAGAGGAATTGGGCTGCTGGCCGCCTCCGGCACCGCGTGGATCATCACCGTCGCCATAAGAGTGAAGTTGTAGTTCGCAAAGTGGTACCGCTGATTCTGCCCCTGTTTGCTCACCGGCCATTCCGCCCATGAGCCACGCCCTTTGAACCTCACACCCCCATTGCCAGTCCCCTCCGGGCTTGCCAGTTCTCCACTCGTCACAGTGGCGTCCACGCCGAGGTACTCGTCCTTCCATTGGCCCTCTGCAAAAGAGCCGGCCAAATACCCAACCAGCCCTTCAGTGGGCGCCGGGTTGCTGCAGCCCGCGCCAGGAGAGGCAGCCGCATCAGCCTCCGTTGGAAGGCACAACTGCTTGACACGTGCATCCACTTCCTTCCATGTTTTCACCACCTTCTTTATCTGCTCCAGCTGCTCCTTCAGGTTCGCAAGGTAAAGGCCCTCAGACATCCCCACATCATCCCCTTCCCGAGAACTCAGCTCCTGCAAGGAGATCAACTCCTCCTTGCCCCTAAACAGTAGGGCACTACCGGCAGCCTGCTTACTTGCGTTGGATATCGGCCCAACATCCACAATGTGGGCGGCGTCGGTGAGCCAAAGATGGAGTTGATCGGTTACGTTGTCTTTCAAAGTCACCGGCAGGGTAACGAGCATCACGTCCCTTTCTTCAATCGTCGCGGTGATGAAGCCACTTTGACCGCCGGATCCGTCACGCTCAAGTGTGTTGCCCCACACGCGCGAGAGTGTCCCGAGCGCCTCCGCCCACGTCTTCCCCATATTACTCGACTCGTACACCTTGCGGTGACCCTCCCCACACGCAGTCATCATCAAAAGTCTCCCGCTCCCCCATTCCACAACGGCAGGATCCACGCAGTCCCCAGCTGTCATCCCCTGCGACAGCCTCCAATCCTTCTCCGGATCACTTGAGTACATGATCAGTGAGACCTCTTTGTTCCCCTTCGTCACTGCCTTTGCGGGAAATACAACCGTGCCGTTCTTCGTCACAATCCCCGCGCCACCGCCGACAGAAAAAAACTGAAACGATTTCTCCTCCAGCGTTGGACTGTGCCCAGACGTAAAGGTGGGAGCCTTCCAAGTGATGGTCTTCTTTTCCTGATCTTTCTTCTCAATTTCCCCAACAAGGAGCCGAGTGTACATCTGAATGGCATTTTCATCATCCCCCGCAGAAGCCCCCTCACTCTGGAACAGAAGGTAAATTTTACTGCCATTCACAACTGGCGTGGGGTTGTAGAAATCCGCCTCCGCCACGTCCTCCGGCATCTTGACGACACCTCCTGACGTCTTGACGACACCCCCCGACGTCTTGATGGCATCTTGCATCACTGAGTTCTCACCGGAGTCGGGGAGTGCCCAGAGCGCACTCGATGCAGTGGATTCAACGAGCTTCGCCAGAAGCGTTCTCTTTGTATTCGCCTTTGTATTCTCGTGATTGGCTTGCGCGATGGTGACCACCTCACCATTCACCTCAACAACGGATGGAACGGTAACTGAAGTGACAGGTGGCCTCTGAGACGCAGCTGGTGTCCCTCCAGGAGAGCCTCCTCCGCCTCCTCCTGCTCCTGAGTCCGGTTTGACCACGTTCGCCTCGGCAAGCACGGCCCAGCTGTTGCTGCATATCAGCGCGAAGAGAAGCAGCAGCGCCGCAGAGAAAAAACGATGCCGCGACATTATGGACTGCTGCTCACTCTCTCTTCCCTCCGCCGGTTGGATCCGGTCAGGCCTCGACAATTGCGTTTGTGTAGGTGGCTAAACTTGACAGCAGCAACACTCGAGCGTATATATTATATATGCGTGTGTGGTCGGTGTGTGTGTGTGTTGCTGGTGGTGGCTGCAGAACCCTCAAAGCGCACAATAGCGAGTAGTGTGTCTTGTATTTCCTTCCAAGTGTGTTGGGGAGAGAAAGTTGTGAAGAAAAAAAACAAACAAAACAAATAAAGACACCGACACAAAAAAACAACACCACCCTCGCCCACAGTTGGGCACACCGAAAAGAACAGCGACAATCCAAAAAACGAAGGCCGCATTAGCGAACGCGTGGGCCGCACGATCTCACACTCGCCGCCGCCCATAAAAGACGGCAGCCGCAAAGAAGGCGGCGGTAGCAGCGACTGTTGTGCGCGGCCCGAAGAAACACCCACACGCACCCGCACGGAGAGTCCGCAGTGTGGGACGCCTCCCGCAGAAATCAAACAACTAAACAAATTCATAGGCACCCCGCTTACCGTCTCCCCCGCCCAGCCCCTTCAAACCCCGCCAGCGGCAACACGCAGTGCGCATCCCGGCGGG